TGATAAAATTAAAACATTAGACATTTAAGGGGAGGGAGAAGAGCAGGATTTGTATAAATTGCGCTATATAAATAAATACAAATTGATTGAATCATTGATTAGTTAGAAAATTTATTACAAATAATAAACATTACATATAACCATATATAGAGAGTATATATAACAATATAATAATATTTTTTTTATAAAAAGCACTAAACAAGTATAACATTGATAATGATTGCAGTCAGCAATTTAGGAATAATTACAAAAGTTATTCATTTTTGTAAGGATGGCAGTTTGCTGCCGGATCAATTCCTGGGACGTAGAAGTCTAAATTTTTTTCCAGTGGCGCGTAGTAATGTATTTTACCGGATTTGTAAAACTCGATGTATGGGAATGCTTTCAATTTGTGCTCCTTATGGAAGATAAATCATTTTATTATTAAAATAATAATAATAATAATAACAATGACAATGACAACAATGACAATCATTAAAAAATCAACAATAAAGTTGTAGCTGTAGTAGCAGTAGTAGCAATAGCAGCAGCAGCAGCAGAAGTAGTAGTGGTAGTGTTGGTTACCTGAACAAAGTGACTCAACTTCGGGTAGACCCTGTAAGCACCAATGATAACAGACAGATCAGTGTTAAACGGGAAGTCGGCTTTGACCACAGAGGAAACAGAAGGGAATTCAAACATTTTAAAGCCATTTTGAGTCAACTTGTCCATCTCTTCTTCATATTTACCATCTTCCATCAAATTTTTCGGCACCACTGAGCCTGAAATCCATCTCAGTTTGGATTCTTCGATCTGAATTTTTAATATACTTAATATTATAATTATCTGTCATATGCTAAATAACTTATGAGTTATAGAACCTATATTGTATAAAAGACCATTCACATGCAATCAATATTTATTAATTGTGAATTTACGATGATACGCATTAAATAAAATAATGCATAGGAATTTTATTTTATGTACAAAATAAATACAATAATGTTGGGGCCATTTAAATTAAAGATCAATAAATCGATAGGACAGAAGCATTCCTTAATTTAATGATCAGTGACAACTATTTAATTAGTTTAATAAATTTAATTTGATCTGATTGGTATTGAAATTGAATTACAATTATTAATTGAAGTTGTGAAAAAATGAGATGCAAAAGAGAAACTAACTAATTTAGGATCATCATAAAAAACTCCGAAAGTGGACAACGTGGGTGCAATGGAGCATGCCTCCGTGAAAACAGCAGACGAGTTCCTGTAGGCCCCAGTGCCTGATTTGTAGAAGCCCACGAAGTTTTGGACGGGCGGCTCACCGACACCAACTTCTACATTGTACAACAAGCCAGCATATAAAACCAAGAAAAAAATCGTCCCTAACAGAAGAATGACAAGTAGTAAAATGCCGACGACCAGCCAGAAAAAAACGTCCATTTTTGATTTTTCACAAATATATTTTTCAAAAATTTTCACAAAAATTAATTAAAACTATTTTTTGATCAAAATTTTGACAAACAAATCTCGCATTAGCACCTTTGTTTATACTTACATTTAAGCTCCTCCTACTAAGCATGTTAAAAGTGAAGGCTAAAATATCAACACAAATTTTTTATCGCTACAGTCACAACAATTTGTCACAAATGTCTTATTATTAAATACATTCTTTTTAACATATTTTTATAACATTTTTATTTGAATTTACTTTTAAAAAATTTGTCAGAAAAATACCCTAAATTAAACAATGAACATTATTTAAAAAAACACCACTGCAGAAATAATAATACCACCCATGGATATATATCCATATATATATATATATATATATAAATCTACATATATATATATAAATATATTTATATATATATATATATATATATCCATGATACCACCATATCAAGCAAAAATTGAGGCGCTTATATTTATAAACCTAACCGGAGCTTGAAAAATTTTGGATATCATTTTGTCAGACGAAAATTGAATGCAAAAATGAATTAATTATAAAAGTTTATCAATCAATCAGTCAGTCAGTCAGTCAGTCAGTCAGTCAGTCAGTCAGTCAGTCAGTCAGTCAGTCAGTCAGTCAGTCAGTCAGTCAGTCAGTCAGTCAGTCAGTCAGTCAATCAATCAACCAATCAATCAACCAACCAACCAATCAATTAGTTTATAAAGCGCTATTTCCGCGATGTTCAACAACGCTCCTCAATAAATTTTGCAAACAGCTGGGTCTTGAGGTCCGCTCTGAACTTCGTAAGTGATGGAGAAGTAGTCAGAGAAGGAGGTAAAGAGTTTCAGAGAAAGGGCCAAAAAAGCAAATGCAGATTTAGCAAAAGAGTGTTTAACACGAGTTAAGAAGAAGTGAGAACAAAAAGACGATCGTAAACCGGGTTCAATTAATTTATCTGATAAGACTTAGGAAAGAATTTAGATTGAGACGTATACATTAAGTGCAAATTTTAAAAATTATTCTAAACTTTATAGGTAGCCAGTGCAAGAGAACAAGATATAGAGATATATGAGAAAAAGGGATACGAGCGACTAGACGAGCAGCAGAGTTAAAAGCTTTACTTAAAGGGTAGAGTGTAAAATCAGGAAGACCATAGTAGAGCAAGTTACAGTAATCAATTAATTCTAGATAAGACTAAAGAAGTGACAAGAAGGAGAAGAGTGTTATAGATAATAATAATAGTAATAATAATAATAATAATAATAATTTTTGTAATAATTTTGTAATAATTAACAATACCGCGAAGGTCAGGTGATTTTTTTGGTAAAGTCATAATGAAAGAATTAATGAATGAATTAATGAATGAACGAACAAACGAACGTATGAATAAATGAATGAATAATTAATGTAAAGTGAAGAAACTTTTTTACAACTATAAAAAATAAATTTCATCAATTAGTCGTTTTATTTTCGCATAATGACAAACATTTAGACAACATCTAGAAGTAGTTGATTGTAAAATTAGTTTACAGTTAAAGTTTAATTCATTAATATTACAGTTTAGTTCATTAATATTACAGTTTAATACAATAATATTACAGTTTAAATCATTAATATTACAGTTTAATTCTATTAAAGTTTAATTTATTAATATTACAGTTTAATTCATTAATATTACAATCTAATTCATTAATATTACAGTTTAATTCACTAATATTACAGTTTAAATCATTAATATTACAGTTTAATTCTATTAAAGTTTAATTTATTAATATTACAGTTTAATTCATTAATATTACAATCCAATTCATTAATATTACAGTTTAATTCACTAATATTACAGTATAATTCATTAATATTACAGTTTACAGTTACGGAAATTCATTGGCATCATTATAGTTGTAAGCATCATAAAAAATTGATAACTGCACCATCAGGTCGGTAACATCAAGAACCATGTTGTTGTTTTTTTCAATTCGGTTTTGTCACTTCGGCCTTACCGAGTAGAAAAAATGTCTCCACTTCACCCTTTCCCTAAATATTTCAAAAATGAAAAAACCAAAACAACTTATATTTGTATATATAGGTCAGCAAATATCAACTGGATCAGTGTTTTCCAATGAATGGAGTGTAATTTTATTCTCCAGGGGCTGGTAGGATGTCTGACATTCCACCAAAAAAATGCGTTCAAACTAGCGTATCGTAAACTTGAATAAATTAAAGACCCTGATTGCTTTCGAACCAGGTCACGCAGAGTGAATTGTCTTGAGTTTGTCTTCTTTGCAATTATCCTTACCGTTAAGATATTTTCAAAAAATATTTTCAATTTAATGAAGATATTAAAATATAAAACAAAATAAAAACCTTAATTGTGATGGTACCTCTCCTTTCAATGACCCAACCGCCAAGTTCCGTCAGAGCTTTCATGCATTCGCTGCTTATGTGGATCTTCAAGGCTTTTTAAATCATGTGATTGAGGATTGAAAATTTTCTACTTGATTAAGTTCATTTATTTATTTAATTATTCACGAAATATCATTTTCTTATTTTCGAACTTTTTGTTGATCTGATCTGCTAGGAAAGTATTATGAAAATGAATCATTCAAGAAAACTCGGGTTGGAAAAAAATTATTACAATTGGCTAACCAGATTCTTAAATTTTAAAAATAATTTGTGGTAATAAAGACAAATACCATATAGAAAAATAACGAACGACTAAACAATAAATCAATCAATTAATATCTACAAAAAAAAAACAAATTCAAACAATCAAATCATATTTAGAAATAACTACTAGTTAACTAAACCGGATATACAAAAAGAAAATCCAACGGAAAAAAATTCAAATTGAAATGACACGAACGCAGTCCATTCGATTCCATCTTGGAGGCTATGTTGACAGTTTCGCCAAACAGGCAGTATCGAGGCATCTTGCTTCCAACGACTCCCGCAACCACTGGACCTAAAAGTGAAAAAAAAATTTTTAAATCTCAACCAATTTCTCCTCTCCGGGTTCAGCTGTTCATGTGGATGGGCAAGGATTTGGGCCCAGATGACGTGAAATAAAATTTAAATAGATAACAACCGATTGTATTTACGCCTATTTTTATTCTGATATTCCCCCATTATGTTTTTTAATCTTAAAAATTTTACTAAAAACGCTCTGCGTTTATTACAATTGGTACTTGGAACTTCGAAATAGCAAGCAAGCAACTCAATATAATGATTCGAATTCTGAGAGATTAACATTCAGTTCAATTAACTTAGTATATTTCAATCCTTTGTACGTATTTTGATGTAACATTGTGAAAAAATTAAAGTGAATTATCTATTTAACATATCTAATTGCATGAGAATAATATTTCATGCCTTTCAATTGGTATCTGCTTTTATGTGTATAACATGCTTCTGTGTTGTAGGTATGTATTTAAAAGAATGTCAGGTCTCGTTTGAAGGTTCAACCCCACAAAGATCTCAGGCACAAAAAACATAAGGAGTGTTGTGTGTGTGTGTGTGGGTGAGTGTGTGAGCGGGTGGGTGGTTTTTGTTTTTTCACTTTTTTCATTCAATATTTACTTGATTAAGAGTTTTTAAAAAAGTTACAAAACAATTTTTCTCTTTCTGAATTTTTTCTAATCAATAATTTAATTAATTAATTGAGTGAGTTAATTAATTAGTATTTTAATTAGACAGGCACTTGTACAACTTGAAAAAGACGTACCTACTGAGGCACGTGCTTAAGAACCCGGTGTTTTAACGTCATCGTAGTCTAGTGAATGCCATTCATTTGATGCTGCTTCTTCACAATTTTGTTATTATGTAAGTACCATACATTCTACTGTAATCTTTTAATTTTTTTGTAATCTTTTTTATCTTCCTCTCTCTCTCCCTTTCTCTCTCTCTCTCCCTTTCTCTCTCTCTCTCTCTCTCTCTTTCTCTCTTTCTTTCTCTCTTTCTTTCTCTCTCTCTCTCTCTCGCGTCTGTGTCCGTATATATAAATACATTCGTCAACTTCAAAGGCAACGAACTTCATTAACGATGCCAACAGGCACGCAGGAGTAAGTGTGTTTCTTTTTCTTCTCTCTAATCATCAACGGAGTCTACCAGACCAGATGCGGACCGTACATTTTGTATGTAAGATTTAAATAATGTTGAAAAGCAGCCAAGGTTGAAAAGTAGCCTTTGGTAAAGTTGGATTCAGAGGTGTGGATACCCGTGGCAACGAAGTAATAGAATCCCCCAAGTTATTTTCAGAATCTTTCAAGTAATCTCAATTGCGTAGGTCCCTTTTTTGTGGAGACCAACTAGAGGGGCAATAAACCATCTGCCTACCTTGACTTTGGCACCGAATCCCATCACTATCAATTTTTTGAAATTCTCCTTTTCATGCCGTTTTGACATTTACATTTTTACTCGTTTCATTTACAGTATTGCAGACTTAAATGTAAAAATCATATCTGCAGAAAGCCAAACACGTGTTTGCTTTAATCCGCTTTCACTTTTTCCTATCACACACAACATACACACACACACACGCAATTCTAAAAATGTATACATACATACATCTACACACATTTGTACGAGTGTAATAAGTATGAACGCGTTAGTGTGCGTACGTGTGTACGTGCATATAAGTGTACGTGAGTGTGCGCGTAGGTATGAGTTCAGCGTTCGCTAATTAAAGATGGCTTACTCCACCTGAGACTGGATAACTGCGCAATTAAACTGTCTCCTATACGCACAAGAGATTTCGTTTTCCAGTTCATCAAAAATTTTTTATCATGTTTAGAAGAATCGTAAGTAGCATTAGTAACTGTTTAATATTATCTCGTTATTTTAAGTCATAATGTAAATAATAAAAGATTAATAATTCTATTAATTATTACTTTATTCATTCGTTCGCTCGTCCGTTTGTTCGTTCATCCATCTATCTATTTATTCATTCATTCACTCCTTTACTTTATCCACTTTTATTTATTAATATTTTAAAATTTTTACAAAATTGGAAGAAAAAAAAAGTCTTCGACCTGTGTGGAGACCGACTCTCAATTTCATCTTCTCGTCCGGTATGTGGGGGATCTGAAATGCGTTGACCCCGTCCAGCAGGTCCAACGACAGACTGGCTATCTCATTTGCATGTCTCTTACCTGAATTCGAGAGAATGTTTTCCGAAGAATCTTTTCGGGTTTTTTTTTGAAATTTCTCAAAAAATTATGTTAATAATTATCTTAATTATTAATAGATGATATTCCCATAAGTTTTCATTTAGAAAATGCGTTTAAAATCTGAATCTTCATTCAAGTTTTCAATTTATTAACAAAGAGAGGAGAAAAAGATTGAGGGAGAGAGAAAAAGGAAAAAAAGAGAGAGGGAGAAACAGAGTGACATAAACTGGATTGAGTGAAATAATTTTTTTTTAATTTTTCAACAAATACAAAAATTTAAAATATTTTTTTCATAAGACTAGCTTCGGTGGCTTGTGTTTCTGAAAGGGGTTTTTAAAATTTAACCTCATACTTTTAAAATACTTTTAAAAATTTAACCTCAACCGCCACAAAATTAATCATTATATGGGGGACTTCAAACCTCAAGCCAACCCCCTCTCCCTTGACGAGATATCAAATTGGCCGATCTAGAAAAACATCAAACCATATTAACCATTCCTCTGCGGAAGGCCACTGGCCACCATGTAAGCATCACCAATGGTTTCTACCTTGTAGACATCGTATTTGTCAATGGTGGTGTCAAAGAAGTAGTAGAGGTGATTTAGAAATTCTACGACCTTGGTGTGACGATATTTCAATGAAAAAACTACGATGTATAATATGATGGTTAAAAGTATTATCATTTATATTCAAAAGGCTTTGCGATAGTGTACTGGTTAAAATGCCCAGCTGTAATGCCATTTGACAAATGAATACTAAATAGAAAATTGTAAAAATTAAAAAGTCAAACCACTATCTATACAACTTTACTACACCAACTTGCATGGGAGTGCTCTTGGCAGAAATAGCTGTAAAACCGACAATATCGCTAAAAAATATCGTCACAGAGTTGTAGGACTCGGCCGCTACCTTCTTCGACAACTTCAACTGCAGCGCCACAGACTTCGGCAGCATCTGGTAGAGCAGCGCGTCTGATTTCTTTTTTTCCTTTCTCAATTCTTTGGTTTTCAACGAGAGGCCATAGGCGAAATTTTGAATGGTGAGTACGATTCTGGAGATGAGGAAAATGATGACGGGTGTGAGGAATATCACAACAGTCAGGATGATTGCGGCCGAGACGAGATTTGCGTATGCGGTCCCCAGTGCACTCTGAATCTTGTTGACGACGTTCAAATCCAGTAAGGCTCTAGTCTCCGTGAGAGCTCTGATGAATTTGCTAAATCGGTCGCTCCATAGATCTTCTGAGATTTGCTTGCTCACTGTTTCAAAATCACCTGTTAGGGTCTGTTTCATGATTCACCGTTAACAAAGCATTCTAATCAATTAAGGACAATTATTTTACATTACATTCCAAAATTATGTAATTGTTAACACATTTTATTCAGTTTATCGGAATAACTCAGCAAAAATTCTAATGAAAACATCGTTCATTTATTTTATTACTGTTTAAATGTTCAACGTGAAAGCAATTAACGATTATAAAATTATTTTTTACTCAAATATAAAGTGGTTAAAATTTTCAAATCCGCACCCACCTGCCAAGCTAGATCCTCGACGACGGTTTTCAACGAAATGCTCGACAGTGACTCGTTCTTGGGATCCCAGAGACTGATCTGCTTCTTCGCATTCTCAATCAACATGCTTTCCAACTCCTGGTTGTAATAGTATGCCTTGCCTAGGTTCTCTTTCGACAAAGCATAACATTTGACGTAATAATTTTTTACATATTGCGTCAAGTTGACCATCTTCTCTACCAATCGAGTCCACCCCATCATCTCGACAGATGAATATTCATTTTTTGACAGCAGTAGCAAGCGGATTGCAATCAACTGTCTCCAGCAAACAGAATCGTTCGTGTGTACCATGACTTCCGACATTCCAGACGACAAACAGTTGATTTTTTCATTGTAAAAACTCAGGCATGGAACCAAATTCAAACTTGTTCCATTGTACTTTTGCATTATTTCCACCAATTTCGTAACGTTATCAGAAATCTCAGGATAGTACTTAACAGTCTGGCGATAAGCTTGCAAATCTGAATAGAGTTGTTGTTTCTTGCATGGGTTTAAAAACACGAAACTCTGATCGTCTTGTTGAGTGTTGTTGTCAGTTGTTGAATTCCTCCACCAAGGAATGACCTTAGATTTCAAATCTGCCCTCGCCAGAAGAGCAGCGTCAGTCTCACCGTATGCACTCTGTAGATCGTCTGGTCTGGTCTTTGAACGAATGCTCGATGCGTAACGACAGACCTGAGTTTGTTTGCAAATCATTTCAAATAAAGTGTTATCTTAATCGCTATTTAATGTTAAAGTTATTTACTGTCATAAAACTATATTTGTAAATCATTTAAAAATTAATCATTGTTTTACAAAACTGCTTAAAATTTTTTTTAGTTACGGAACAATTTTTTAGCATTTTATATAATTTTTTCAAATTTAGACAAACTTTATTCACATGTTTATAATTTTATCATCATTCACGTTCACATTACATTTAATTACACATGAAATTCGTCCAATTTTCAAAAAAAAAAAAAAAAATCAAATCATCAACTAACACATCATTCCAACAGAAACCCACCTTTCTTTTCTCTTCAATCATCTTGTTGGATAAATTGATGAGAAACAAGACAGCCGCTGTAACATCCTTCGTGATATGGAGATCCTTGTCTGTGATGACCGTATTTCCCAGACTGATAGATGTCTGGATGATGAGGAGCGTCATTGGAATGAGTGGGATAACCAACATCTAAGTGGGCGGTTAGGGAATTTTTTTGTTCTTAACGATATATACATGGTAATGAGATAGCGTAACGGTTAAGGTGCTTATTCTCAATGTTGTAGTGACTGTGTTTGAATGCAAAGAGGACACTGTCTACCACATACAACAAATTTATCGCTAATAAGAAAAAACACATACCTATTAAATAAATTTTTATAAATATACTACTTCTGACTAAACAATGAGAAGAAACAGACTTGTGTCATCTGTATCCGTTTCCCTTGTTTTGTAATGGGATCAGCGTTGCATAGTCCCGTCCTTACATCCAACTTGGGACTTGGGTTCTTCAAATCGGCATTCGAATCCTCTAGATCCTTGTCGCAATAATTACCCATTGCGAGTATAATATGTCACCCCAGATTTTGTTAAATCAAATCCAATTTCAATGTTTTTCCTTATTTTATTACATTATTGTAATATTTTATGATTTAGCTGACTAAATGAAATAATTGCATCCATTCACTGAATTCATATAAAGCTCTCTTCTGTCATCTGATCGGGCAATGGTGATGCTATGGACGCTCTCTATATATACATATATATGTGTAAATAAACAACATATAAGTTTGTAGATAGAACATTTATATATATATGTGTGTGTGTATGTGTGTGTGTCTCTGTGTGTGTGTGTGTGTCTGTGTGTGTAAGTGTAATGCAAGCATATGCGTGTTATATGCGTCTAGGAATGTTTATACCTATAAAGTTATATGAGTAACAGTATATAACATGATATCATTTTTTAAAAATCCTTGTCGGTTATCCGCCGATAAATTTGCTTCGATTGATAATATTAAGATGAAATAACACAAAAAAGAATTTATGTTTTACATGACGCCACTCAAAAACCAAACGAAAATATAAACAGTGTAAAATTTACAATGAAAAACATTTAAATCTGGTTAACTTGAGATCAGGCGAATGTCGTTGGCTCAAATGTAAGAAAATCTCAACCTTTGACATGCAGTACGGTGAGGTGGTATAATGGTTAAGACGTCTGGTTTTGCTACTACAGTAACTTGGTTTGAATGCAGAAGAGATCCTTGCCTATTCCACGTGTTGCACGCACGGATTCACGTGATTTTTAGTTGATACCTCTGATATTTAATTATTAATATTCAATAATCGAAATTTTCAATTCAGAACTCTAATCTCAGTTTCGCTTTCGACAATAGCCAGATCATGATCGAAGAAAATGAACTTTATATATCATCCTCTTACTACCTTTATTATGCATCGTTGCCTTCTGCTACAAAGCATGCAGTACGATTATTTATTTTTTTCAAATTTAATTAATTAATTACTCAATTAATTAGGCATTAATTCAGTACTCAATTAGTTAATTATTAATTAAATGTGAAATTATATTCTTTTTCAAATGATGGAAGCTGTCGAACGAACGTTCGCCGCCTTTGACGCAGAGTCAGCGCGAAATGACGGTACTAATAGTTATGGCGTTTTTTGATAAAATTTAAAATTAAAAATGCAGAAAGATACAAAGAACTTTCAAACTGTTAACTGCATCTTACTGTCATATAACCATAAGTTTTTACAAGTTATTGAAAGTTATTAATCAATCATTCAATCAATCAATCAAATATCAATCATTCAATCAATCATTCAATCAACCAATCAATTAGTTTATAAAGCGCTATTTCCGAGATGTTCAACAGCGCTTCTCAATGAATTTTGCAAACAGATGGGCCTTGAGTAGTCGGAGAAGAAGGTACAGAGTTCCAGGGAAAAGGGCCAGAAAAAGCAAATGCAGATTTAGCAAAAGAGCTTTATTTAATCCACACACAACTGGCAGAAAATAATATAACAACGAACATTTTAGCCTCATCAAAATCGATTGATTCAATTTTAAATTGTAAAATTATTCCAGGTAGGTTATAAATAATGTTTAGAAATTTCAAGGTAAGAATTGAACTGTCGACACAATGGAAAACAACAAAATATCAATCAAAAGTTTGAAGTTCATAAGTCCAAAGTTAATAAATTGTTCAATCGTTGATAAATATTGTAATAATACAGTGATTTCAAATCCATCGTCACCCCATACTACTTATAACTACTTATATCTATCCATTCAAAACAAGGTTTTATCGATTTATGATTTTTAAGAAAAAATTGAAACTACCAACCGTATTTCAAGAGGAATATTATTATTAGCTATATTTCAATATGAATATTTCTATTATCTAATTAGCAAATTGATCAAAGTAAATGTCTATAAAATATAGTTTTAATCAAAGGTTTAATCATCTCATGATACTGCCAAACTAAATTTAGTAACTGTTTTAGATATAACACCTGTCAGAAAACTGGACAACAACCGAAACTACATCACTAAACGACATTATTCCTCAAAATTACCAGGATATCTGATTGTATGCCTACATGAAGAAAATTTCAATCCCACTTGATTTTCATACATGACATACCTGCATTAAAAAGCTCGAATGTTTGACGAATAAATGTTATACTACAACCTAACCGAACATTTCTATACATTTTCAAGGATGTTTCACGTTAAGAAGTTATTAAAACTTCCAATTCGACTGTGACAAAAATAGGAATTGGCTAAAAAATAAATAAAATAAACATTTTTTTTGTTTATTTTGACAAATAATTTCTATTTTCCAAAAAAAACTGAAAATCAATGTTTTTAAATATTTGTTTTTGTTTATTTTGATAAATAATTTCTATTTTCCAAACAAGACTGAATATCAAACAAAAGCACAGTCCTATTAGAATTTAGAAACTACTAACAAACGCTTTCTAGCACTTTTTTAGTTTTCCAACAAAATATCAATTGTAAAATATCCATGCCAAGTCACTATGTTTGTACTGCAGATCTTTCAATCGGTCAGTTTGCCGGTTGGTTGGTCGATAAATTGATAGGACAGAAATTTGTAATTTTTCACAGTAACATTGGTGGTGACGTCTTAACAATAAGCTGTAAACAAAACAACATGAAGAGACCATCAACATTTTCATTACTACATCAAAATTTAAGAGAGATGTGTAAGTGTGTGTGAGTGTGAGTGAGTATGTTATCAACTTTAAAATCAAGTGCATGCCGATTTCAAACCAAACCATAACATGGGGTGACAATTTTTCAAACTGACTAGCCATCGAAATGGACACGCCCATATTATTATTGCTGATCGTCCATGTCTTTACGGACCCACGATTTCTTAAGATGAGTTAGAAATTGAATTCTTCGATCTTTCTAATTAAAATTTTAAAAACTATTATTAAATAATTGCGAATAAATAAATAAACTAATAAATAAATAAATACGATGATTTCGAAGATTCTACTGAGCAATTCTATGTTGAAGACTGCAGAGCTAACTATCACAAGGGCACCGTTTGGAACTGCCATGATATACGCTGGGAAATAAGCTTGATTGATGCCTGTCGGCTTAACTTCACTCTTATTTACGAGAGGTGTACACGCAATGATGGCTTATATACAAACTACCTTCTTATAGTTGATACAAGTCGGCAAATTTTTTTTTAATATTTAATGACTCTTTTCATGGATGCTTTAAATCGTAATGGTTTATAAGTTGGTCTTTGAGACTTTCAGATCAAGTTCCGTCCGAATTTTAAAGATTATTTTTCTTCTATTTTGTACACAGACACACACGCACCAAGTACACACGTACATGCTAGCATTTCAAGTTTGAGTTAAAATATGACGAGGAGAAGTTTCGAAAAATATTGGGAGCCATTAAATTGAATTCCAGTTAAATTTTAATATAGTTTAATTTCAGTTTAATTTTAATGTGGTTTAATTCCAGTTTAATTTTAACATAATCTAATTTCTGTTTATTTTTAATTTAGTTTAATTCTAGTTTAACTTTTGTATAGTTTATTTCTAGTTTAATTTTAATATTGTTTAATCTCAGTTTAATTTGAAAGCAGAGATCCGGCAATTCAATTACTCGCTCGGCCCTAGCGCGAACATTTACGAATACACGGCAATCTTCAAGGTGCGTCCATTACTTGCTGACATCAGATTGAGATGGAGGTTCATGATGGATATGGTTGAGCCGACCAAAGAATTCGCAACGGAATACAGGAGCTTCTATGAAAATGGATACATCGCATGTGTAATCAATAAAATTTACTCGTTAAAAATGTTTCTCCATTTCAAATACTAAGGGGGGCTTTGGGACTGGAGTTCCTCACCACAATAGACATTCTGTTAACCGTTTCACAAAATTTCTATTTGAGTTCAATGAAGTTTGGTTAAAGATTGCAGCAGTCCATATAAAGCAGCAACGTTTTGGAAAAATTGGGACGGAAAATACGTTTTGAAGTTGTGGAAAAATGTGGAATAATAAAATAAGGTCATCCAAGCGCCGCGTCCCCCTCCCCCATCAAAACATTTTTTGGCGACGACACTGCTGGTGACAGCAGAGTAAAAATGAAAAAAATTGTAAAACTAAATTGTATCGGAAAATCAAATTTCAAGCACATTCGTATTTAAAAGTTAAAATTTGTTCATTAAATGTTATTTTTATCTCAACTTATCTCCATTCGATCTGCCCATCGTTGGAGTCTTTAGTTCCATAGTGAATTTTTTTCTTCTCACAAATTTGTTTCTTTATAAATTGATGAGCACTTATTATTATTCATTAAATTAAGTGAAGGGAAATTTTGTTCCAGTTTAAATCATTTCGTCATTTCGTAAATCGAAAGATGTTACTACTCAACTCTAACCGATTTTTGCTATTGAAATCGGTGATTTTATGCAAAATTTACCGTAATTTTATTGTTTAGGCGGGTTGAAATAATCTTCAGCCCAAATTTTGACAAATTCATTTAAAGATTTTGTTCATTTTACCCATATCTCTATCAAAATTTTTCATTTTGGGGACTTCTGCCCTGAAGTTCCTCCATCGTGAACGTCTTTACACGTGGATCAGACAGCCCACGTGTCGTTAACCAAGATCTCTTGGCGTTCAAACCTAATAACTCTAACAGCAATGCCAGGCACCTCAACCATTATACTATCACAGCGCTCGAATTTAATTTTCACTGAATAAATAAAATAAATTCAATTCAAATTATATTCAGATGTTCACGGCCAAAAAAAATAGAGATATCGGATATTTTGTAGAACCCGGTCCCGCCAAAATTTTTATTCAGAACGTCTTGACAACGTTGAGTATCGAAATAAAAAGATTTGTATTCAGATCTGTCGAAGATGGTTAGTTCGCCTAATATTTTTTATTGTCATCCCGTACTCTCAATACACATGTGATAATGAGAATTATTTACCTAACTACAAATTTTAAATCTCCAATCTGGAATGAATGTATGCATTTCTTTAAATTCAGTGATTAGCCCATAAAATTGGTTTAAACTTTCTTAAATGTATTTGAACCCGGCCACTGCAGCACTTGGTACAAGTACAACACCTGGTCACTCAAGTAGCAAACTACCATTATATTTATCCTTAAAACTTTTAAGACCGATGAGTTCAAAGGCTTCACACACATATTCCTCAGAACTTTTAAAGGACATATAAACAAAATTAGTTGTACTATTTCAATTAAACATATTATACACACTCCCACAAGGGAATGCACTCCCACCGGATTATGAATAGTCATCCACTTTACAATTTTGAAATCATCCCCTTCCTTCAATAGCGGATTTCTGGATCCGCCACTGTTTTTGTATTCTTCAAAGTTTTCATTTGTAAAATCAGTAACTCGCTCTACTATGGTCTTCCGAATTCTAAACTCTATCCTTTAAGTAAAGCTTTTAACTCCGCAGCTCGTCTAGTGGCTTGTATCCCTTTTTCTCATATATCTCCATATCTGGTTCTCTTGCACTGGCTACCTATAAAATATAGAATAAATTTTAAAATTTGCACATTCATGTATAAGTCTCAATCTAAATTATTTCCTAAGTACTTATCAGATATATTAATTGAACCTAAACGCCCCGATTTACGATCGTCTTCTTGTTCTTTTGCTAAATCTGCATTTGCTTTTTCTGGCCCTTATCTCTGGAACTCTTTATCTACTTCTCTGACTTCTTCTCCATCACTTACGAAGTTCAGAGAGGACCTCAAGACCCATCTGTTTGCAAAATTCATTGAGGAACGCTGTTAAACATCGCGGAAATAGCGCTTTATAAGCTAATTGATTGATTGAACATTTCTGCCATATATAGCCATAATGTTTTCACATCAGTCAGTAATTAATAATAAATTTACTAGGGAATTTTATTTTTATTTTAACTATGTTCTTAATTATAATTAGTTAACAGTTGTCAAGTTCAATTATTCTCTTAATTAAAATTAGTTTAATTTATTTTAAATTAATTTCATAGAAACAGACGCTGCCACATCTGCAAAAGGTAACTGATTATAAACAAAGAAAAATTAGACAAAGAAAGAAAGAGAGAAAGTGAGAGAAAGAGAGAGAAAGAGAGAGAGGGGGGGAGCGAAAGAGAAAAATAGTGAAAGAATCAAATGAATCAACCTAACAACACGCATACCATACCTAACTAATACATTTTATAACTTACTTTAATTTCATCTCACCTCATTAACAAAAGTCAAACCAGATACAACTGCATCAAACGTTATATCCCACCATCGTTCAATGTAACGTTTCTATGAGCATATACTAGACATCTAAATTTGAAGGGATGGTGATAATAAAGATGACGATGACAATATTGACGATGATGACGTAGATGATGGTGAGAAAGATGACATTGATGATGATAGGGACGATGGTGATTGAAACGCGCATCTATGAATAAATTAACTTTAATGTAAAAATAATTTTTGAATTAATAAATTTAATTTCAGAAAACATAATAACGTTGGTCGCTCCAGCCCCCAACATAGGCGAGTTTTTTTTCGTTTTTGTACAGAGCTATATAAACAAATAATACACAAATATATTAAGTAGAAAATAAATTTCGAGGTGTTTTTATTTTAAATTAATAAAGATTTTAGAGTTGTATAAGAGGATGATTTAAAAAAATATTTAAAATGTTGTCCTTCCTCGGCAGATCCGGGGGGATGATTTGAGGGAAGTTGGTAAAATGTTTTCCTAAAATTCGGTTCCGGGGGATGGGAGGTGTGAAGATTTTCAAAATTGAAGGTTGATGACCTTATTTTTTTGCTATTTCCAGATTTTATTTTACACATAAAATCTTTACTTTCAGTAAACGTCACAGAATATGCAGGTTTGTTAAACACTTTTAAAATCTTGTTGACTAAAAAACAACTTAAATGGTTAATTTATAGATTGATCTATCTATCCATCTATTTATCTATCCATCCATTCATTTGTCCAATTCTATCCGTCCATCGAACCGACCTTGGCCGGATTAGCCAACAGACAAATGAGACTGATATATTGATAAATGGATGGATGGATGGATGCATGGATGGATGGATGCATGCATGCATGGATGCATGGGTGGGTAGATACAGAGCCGGATTAGGTTTTCGGCAAGCCCTGAAAATGCCGCTCGCAGTATTTTGGGGACCTGATTTGGGCCCCTTTCTTGCCTTTCAGGAAAAAAATAACAACATGTATGTTACCATGAATCGCACAAGATCGTAGCCATTTATCAACCATTCAACTTGATAGACGAGCTTCGAAGCAGTTTAGGTAGTATAAGCTAACAAAATTGAAAATTATTACTAACTGTAGTTGATATTTAACACTGATGATCATTTGTTGTAGTAGCACTTAATTGTGTGGGCTCGAATTTGGTACATTTTTCAGGGCTTGCCGAAAACAGAATTCAACTCTGTATCCACCCATCCATCCATTCATCCATCCACCTACCCATCTATTCATCCATTCATTCATCCATTTATCCATCCATTCATTCATCCATTTATCAATATATTTATCTATTTGCTCATTCAGTCTATTTAGAACCTGGAGATAATACAAGTGGTGACGGTATGTTAGTTTTGTTAGATTTTTTGTATAAAATAACTCAATGAATATATATCTATAGAGAGAAAGACAGAGAGAGAGAATTCACATATCACATAAATCATTTACCATTTACTATCCATTAAAATTCCAGATTACACGGATCGACGTAAATGAAGTTTTCGTTTGTTATATATTTTGTTATTGGTTTTCAATTTGTGTGAATATAAAAATTATAGTTTTTTTTTGTCATTGTCTTCTGTTTTTTTCCATTTTCTAATCACCCCCCAATTTTGAAATTTTACTAAAGTACGATTAAAAGATTATAAGCGAGCCGTTGTCGCAAAACCAGTACGACAAAACACTTCAATTTTAGCACTTTTATTCAATTTATTTTATAATTCAATTTTAATGATTTTATATTTTCATTCAATTTTCAATGAAAGAAAGGACATCGGTCAATTTTTATAATTAAATGCTTTACCTGCTAAACTATCATCAAATTTTTCAGTATTTTCATGCACAACTTTGGCCGGATTTACAGGTTTCAAGGCTTTAGTTTAGGGTAGCATAGAATTGGAGGCCCCTAAATGCTTACCTACCACACTTTAAATCCGGCTTCTGTTATTAACTGAAAAGTTAATTTTAAAAAATGTTTTTATTTTGTTTCATTTATTAAAAAATTTATTATTTTATTTTGTCATGTTTAAAGCAATTGAATCGTATAATGTCATTAACACACCATTCTTCAGAGAAAGAAAAAGCTTATGGTATTGAACTATTTTATGAAATGGATTTATTTTTGTTAAATATTGGAATTAATTGTCTAAAATACAAACTTTAAAATCATTGTTCCTAAATTCTTGTCTGGAGTTACTCACTTAAAAGAATATAATAACTAACAATTTTTTTTTAAAATAATTACATAAATCATGATATAAACTGTGTGAGATACTTTTTCCAGATTATTTTCATAATTTACAAAATCGAATTTTTAGCAGAAAGAAAAAAAGACCAACCAGGTATATGAAATTGAAAAACAATAAATAAAAAGAATCATCTTTCAAATGTGACTTTAAAAGGCTGCTAAACCCGCTCATGGACTGGCCTGATTCGAATCAGACGTACTCACATGGGTTGCGTTTTTATTTATGTTTTTTTATGGAAAAAGCTAAAAAAAGTTATTTTTTTTACACATTAAACGTAATTATTCATGTGTACTGAGTCTAAATTATCAAATTTATTAATGTTATGACCGGATCATCATGTCCAATAGGAATGGATGTGGTCAAATATAGCCTATTCATAACCATAGCAGTTGTAGCAGTTTTTGCTATTCTAATTGCCCGTTGGTATAATTCCTTATCATTTATAATTTACGTATTTGCATGTGTGTTTGTGTGTATGTTTGTGTGTGTAAAAAATATATTACACAGCATAAAACAACAAGAGGATAATTTAAGCTAAAACTATTTTTAAAGCTCTTATCGTTCTGCCTGATTCATCACAACATTAACAGCTCTTACTACATCACATCTCAGAGGCTTATACAACATTATTTTGCGATTTTAATTTTCGTAAAAGTTTTTTGAGGAAGTTAAAATACAAAATACCGCAATACAGATAAGTATTTAGAATGAACCAAACTCCATACTCAGTAAAGCAATATGTAAATTTGTATTAAATTGAAGTAAAAGAAATTTCGTGACATTAGTTCAGTATCGCTATAATCCTTTCAAATGCAAAGCTGCATATTTTCAATTTAATTTTATAAAACCACAATTCTTAAGTTTTTTTTTATTTAATTTTTAAACATTTTTTTACAGTCATTTTAATTACATATTTATAAACATTATACAATGCAATCAACGACGCTAAACTACCAAACCTAACAAAAGTCGCTGAAAAGAGGTACTCAGATAACGCTTCTGGTGGAACATTGGACAGTTCTGAGAGCTTGTAGCCAAACTTCCGACAGACATACGTAAGGGCGGATCCAGACAACTTTGACGGGGAGGCTAACTTTGACGAGAGGGGGGCCAACTTTGACGGGGACTTAACTTTAACGAAGGAGCCAATATTGAACTCAAAAATTTTGTTCAAATCGTTTAAATTTGTATAAATTTGAATTATTTAAATTTAAATTTGGACGTTGACAATTGGTTATAGTAAAACTTTTTGTCAATTTTAATTTTTAAAATAGTATTTTAATGTATGAATAGTATGCAACGATATATGTTAGCTGGATTTAGAAACAATTACAGAAAATAAGCTGTTAAACAGTACAGTAGGTACTTGTTGAACAGTATATGAATTAACACTTATCATTATGTAGACCATTTTGGTTTGATAGTTCTTTATTCTAAAATGGGAAAAAAGAAGAATGAGAAGAATGAATCAAGCGAATAAAACGAATAGACCCAACAGACCTCTGTCTTATAGACCCAATAGACCTCTGTCTTATAAACCCAATAGACCTCTGTCTTATAAACCCAATAGACCTCTGTCTTATAAACCCAATAGACCTCTCCTCTTTTGTTTGACGCTGCATCTCCATAAAAAAAGAGACTTCTTGCGCATTGGCGTCTTAATGGCTGTACACACATTGGTCTAATAACCTAGTCTGTACTTTCGTGAAAAATTATTTGCATTCCAGTAGTGATGAATTACTGTGACGGGCCGTCTTTCTCTTATTTGTTGAGTTTTTTTCTGTACGTGTCTTTGTCTGTGTGTGTGTGTCTGTGTGTATGCGTTTAGCTGTGTGTGTTGGCGTCTTAATTTCATATGCACAAATGGTTGTACATGGATCTGATTACCTCGTCTGTAATTGTTTGCACACCAGTCGAGATGAATTACGATCATGTGTGTCTTTCTCTTATTTGTTGAGTATTTCTCTGTATGTGTCTTTGTCTGTCTGTGTATGTGTCTGTGTGTGTTGCTAACCTCTCATGCTCAGAATGCCTGCACATTGGTCTAGTTTTCGTCAGCGTTTCCTTGCGTGGGACAATAAGTATGTCAGTCTGTGTGTGTGTGTGTGTGTGTGTGTGAGTGTGTGTGTGTTGATTGACTTTGACATAATAGTATATAAAATCATAATAGCTTATAATGTGGCATCAATATACTTATTAACCTAAAATAATTCGATAGGAAACACGAAACTAACCATGTTAATTAACTTACAAACATCATAAACTCAATTAATTTGTTGAATAAATAAACAATCTAATATTTTGGATTATTATCATAAGTATTTCTATTAATTAACCACTTAGGCTTTTGCTGTTAAAAAAAATAAAATAACATTTATGTATTGTAAAATCCACCCCAATTTCCAGATGTAGACGTAAATTTTGAAGAAATTAAACAAAGACCCATGACAAAAG